CAAGAAAAAATACTTAAGTCTATCTTTTGAGTATCATAAAGATGTGGCAAAGTAAATAGGATGCTGATGAGCCAATCCTCCGATAATGGGAGTGAAAAGACAGTCTAGATCTGGACCAAAGCTCAGCCCTTTGCATAGCAATTTTAAATCTGTGCAACACCATTTGTATGGCGGAAATAAATTTGAAGAAATAAATTTATATGTTGCCTGGGCCATTCATAATTACTCTTTAAATCTTACAAAAAGCAGGCAAGATATAGGGCAATTATAGGAAAGAGAGCAAATATGGAATCAATCTTGCAGCAAGAGCCCAGAAATTACTGTCCAATAATGAAGCAAACTGAAGAGAGAAAAATCTGTAAACATTTAGAAAGACAGTGAAATCCTAAGCAATAAGGAGAAAGATTTGTGAATATCAAACCCTGCCAAGTCTAGAATCCTCTTTCCCCCTCCATATTAAGATTTCAAAATTATTTGATGAAATCAGTGTTTTTGAAAGCCACCCACATTTGGGAACAGAAACTGATAATGAGTATAGGAAATAATTACAGCAGTCTTTAAACCAAGAAGGAAACTTGCAGAACAGCTAGTTCATTCATCTCACACATCAGATGAAGAGACTCAGAGGGCCTGGTTCACCTTCATTTCCTGCTCCCCATCTGCAAAGTCATTTCTGCTACACTGCACTCTGCTATTGTTTGCACACAAGAATAATGCATCCAAACTGAAATTGTGAGTGATAAACATTAGGACAACATGAAATTCAAATGGTCAGTAGATGTAAAAAAAAGTGTAACATACTGAAAGAAGGGTACCAAGTGTACTAAGTTGTAGCACCTGATGTCAACAGCGGAGGTTGGCTCATGATGCATGTTTTTGAATTGGCCATAGCATAAAACCAGAGTACTCACTCATTCTCCCATACTATTAGACCGGGAGAATGGCAAGCAGCAGGAGCCATCCACGGAAATGATGCACGCCTGGTCTTCCATGAGCACATCTTTTACCCTTCCACAAGTGTGAAGGTGAAACAGCCCAAAGAGGAAAAATCAGAGCTCACCCTCGTCCTAAGATTCTATAAAAATGTTTTCTTTTTGCCACTTAGGATTCATAATTTTTAACTACTTTGTGTTATGGCAAAGTAGGCAGAATAGCATTAATAAACCTCACATACCCATCGTACCCATCACTCAGCTCCAACGATACAAACTATCGATCATGAAGGCATGTATACATATATTATCCCCCTCCCTTCCTTACTATTTTGAAGCCCATCTCAGATGTTTGCATACGATTTCACCTATATTTTAATATGCGTTGCTGCAATAAAGGTATTCAGCAAAAACAGATGATCATGATGCAGTGATCACACATGAGAAAATTAACAGTAATTATACCATAAAATGCCCAAGCAGTGTTCAAATTTGAATGTATGACATGATTTTTATTAAGTCTTCTAAATTGGTTTCCAAGGAAGGTCATCTTCAATCCCTGTGTAATTTACAGTTTCTCCCTCAACTCACTCTGCAATTTATTTACTAGGGACACTAAATTGTTTACCTTGAGTTTCCGGTAGTCTCCATTTTACTGACTGAATCCTTGCAAGTCTTCTGTCCTCTGTATTTTTAAGTGGTTCGGCCTAGAGCTGTGCTGCCTAATATAGCAACTACTAGCCTCAGATAGCTAATAAACTAAATTAAAATAGAAGTCCAGTAGCTCAGCAACACTAGTTACATTTCAAGCGCTCAGGAGCCACATGTGAGTGGTAGCCACAGTATGCATGCAGATGAATAATATTTGCATCATTCCAGAAAGTTCTGGAAAGTTCTACTCTGAAAGTCCTACTCTGAGGCTTAATTAACTTTATGAGATAACTTTGATAGAAAATAGATGTTAAAATCTCCATCAAGTCTTTGGCTCACAATTGATATCTCTAAAGTAAAACAACTGGACGCTACAAATGAAACAAAAAATTAAAGGAACTAAAGGAATTCATGTGTTTTTAAGCTTATATAAATAGTAAACTTAAAAATACTTCAGCAGTTCACTTTTTTGAGCATTTTTTAAATATAACTGTCAATATATTTATATGTAACATTCATTTTAAGATTATATATATGGTTTCACATTTGAGTGCATCACTATTGATTTGCTCTTTTAATTAACATTTATATTGTTTCATTTTACTGTAATAGACACTATTTTTTGAGACAGATTTTTTTCTATGTAGATCCTCACTGACTGGCCTTGAACTTGTGGCGATCCTCCTGACTCTGCCTACCAAGTACTGAGATTACAGGCATGCTCCACCACACCTGGCCCATACACTGACTGCAAAGGATTTTCTTGAATATCTTTTGCCTCCTGTTATACACGAGTAAAGGAGGCAGTGTTGCTAGGGCATTGACTTTATATGTCTTCAGTTCTGCTATTGCCCACTGTGTCATTTTACCAGTTTACACCCCACTAGTCTGGGAGAATTCCCAGTTCTTATCAACTTTAGGTTGTTTGTCATGCTTAATTTTTACCAGTATGAATCCACAGATTTTTAATAATAATAATAATAATAATATGAGCATATGAAGAAAAGAGCAGAATAGAGAAGGCAGTGATGCTTTAGCTCAATTTGTAAAGTTTTGTTTCTTTAAAAAGAGAACACAAATAGTACAGAACAGTCACATGCATTAGAGTGAATGGTGGTTGGAAAGATGATCATGAAGTTGTCTTTTAAGATGTTTTTAATTTTTTAATTATTGATATTTTATTCTAAAAGGAAGCTGCTTGACAGGGCAATGCATTGGTTATATTTGCCCCCAAAATAACTTCCAGCTCATGGAATAGTTCAATCAAACCTTATGCAGCTAAATAGTGCCAAATGATTGACTTTATACTCGCATGCTGTGTATGTTGATAAAATTATTTACTTTACCCTTAGCATTTTTTGTTATGCACCATATAGTATTTTCTCCTTTGGTGAGTGATATAAACTAAAGATAGGGCATAATGAAAGTGGAACATGCCTTTGCAAAAAACCCTAGAAGATTTGTGGAGTATTTCTCACTAGTTTTCACTTATTTGTGAACTTTGTGGGCAAGTTAAATTACTTGGTCCTGCTACTGAAGCTAACCCTTTGTGTCCCTATATTTGCATTAATTGTTTTAAAATCTAAACTCAATTAACTAGTGGTAATTTCCTATTTTTTTTAAATTCTGTACCGCTGTTACCCTTTTGTTGTTGCTGTTTTTAAAATAAAAAAAAATTACAAACTCAAGCTCTTTCAAAGGATAGGACAATAAAGTAACAATGATTAGTCTGATTTGTCTGTGCAAAAATTAACTGAAATCCCGCCCATGTCCAAAGCTCCACCCAAGGCCCAGTAAGGGAATAAAGCCAGACAAGAATCAGTCCCTGCACCTGGGAACTGGGAACTAAGCACCATTTATTGTTGGTTTGTTTTGTTTTAAACACTTAGTACAAAGTTTTATTTTTATAGTCAGAAGCTCCTCTGGCTTTGCTCTATTTTGATCTTTATAACTTATTTTATAAGATTGCTGGGTAGTTACTGCCCAGTCTCACTGACCTTTGGTCAGAAGGAGGGACATTTTGACTCGACCTATGCAGGGCACTGCTTCCCACTTCAGAAACTGGAGGCATAAATAACTTCAAAGGAAATCCTCCTGGAGATCCCTGATGGCCACAGCAAGCCGGGGAAATGGAGCGACAGGGAAAAGAAGAAAGCAGGAGTGCTCAAGAATAAGTGAAAGTGGTATCCATCCTCTGGAGAGTTTTTCTTTTCCTTCTCTCCCTTTAAAATACTCTGTTTTTCTGCTACTAGATTTTTAAAAATGCGAGGGCACAATTAAGACACTAATATGAAATATGTAGCCTTCTATGCCTAGGTCCTTTAAGTGAGATTTAAGTTGAACATTTACAGCAAATCACAGCAAAAACGAACTGCGAGGAGGACACACTTATAAAAGTGTGCAGGTGACCGGAGTGGCTGCGGTCAGGGAGGAGTTAGGCCCCGCCACGCGTGCTGGCATCGGCTCACGCAGGTCTGTGCCTGCTCGGGATCGCACACGAGGAAAGGATGGTGGAAAGGGTGAAAGGCCGTCTGCGTCTTGAAGCCATTCACACTTTATGGTGTCTGAACTTCAAAATGAAGCAGTCCTGAAGGTCGTTTAGTGGCGGCAGTACAGGACTTCCCGAGAAGTTGGACTCATAAAATAAAGGCGCCATCTGGCCACCAGCACATGAAACAAGCACTTTGCAAACAACAGTTCAGTAGAAGGAGGGCACATGATTCCGAAACACCTGACTGGGGTTTCTCTTCAGGCTCCCAGAGGGAGAGCTGGTTAAGAGAGTCTTGGTTAACCAAACATCTAACTGACAACCAGAGCGTGGGGGCAGGAAAGGACGGGGGACTACAGTGCCCTCCCAAACAGGTCCCAACAAGGGAAGTGAAGGGCTGGGACAAAACAACTTAGCTCCATATCCTAAAGGAGGTCAATGCATCTCTTCTGGTTCATGGTACACTTGTACAATCAAGGTAACAAAATGTGGACGGCTTCATACCGCCAATGTCAATGAAAAGCTACTATGCTAAGTTGAATAGGATCAAATGCCAGAAAGCTTTTTGAGAAACTCTACCCTAAAGAAAACTTTTATGTTGTATTGCTGCCGATGCTCAGAGCAGGTAAATTCAACAGCCTAGGCCTCAGTTTCCACATCTTTAAAGTGGGGACAACAGTCTCTCACATCATCATGAGGACTAAAAATACTGTAAAGAGAAGCGTGTACGCATAACAGTATCCAACCTAGACTTATTTCTCCTACTCTCAATGTAATAAAACTCAATACTGGGTGTGGAGATCCATTCATAGCATAGTTCCACGTGTTTATCGCCAAATAGCGCATCAGCCATCCTTGAAAGAGGGCGAGTTTTAGGGAGCCCTCTCAATTTCTTCCTGCGCTCAATTTCTTCTGTTTTCCCCCTGCAGCCAGCTCCTCCCTGAAGAAGCGATTCAAGCGGCGGGAGATCGAAGCCATCCAGTGCGAAGTGCGGAAGATGTGCAACTACACCAAGATCCTGTCCACCAAGAAGAACCTGGACCACGTGAACAAGATCCTGAAGGCCAAGCGGCTGCAGAGACAATCAAAGACAGGCAACAACTTCGTCAAGAAGAGGCGGGGGCGTCCCCGCAAGCAGCCCAGCCAGTTCGATGAGGACTCCAGAGACCAGATGCCCGTGCTGGAGAAATGCATCGACCTGCCCACCAAGCGGGTGCAGAAGCCTAGCCTGAGCCCGCTGGTGCTGGAGCCCGCCGCCAGCCAGGACGCCGTCATGGCCACCATCGAGGCGGTCATCCACATGGCCCGCGAGGCGCCGCCCCTGCCCCCGCCCCCGCCGCCGCTGCCCCCGCCCCCGCCGCCGCCCCCGCCCCCGCCCCCCGCGCTGCCCAAAGCCCCCAGGGGCGGCAAGCGGAAGCTCGCGGTGCCCCCTGCCGGCCAGCCCGCGCAGGCGTCCCCGCAGCAGCCCCCGCCCCAGGAGGAGGAGGTGAAGGCCAAAAGGCCCCGGAAGTCCCGAGGGAGCGAGAGCGATGTCCTCCCCTAAGGTGGGTTTGGGCGTCTGAACCTGGGGCTGCGGGACTGAGGCATTGCAGGCGCAGCGAGCTGGGGTGGGGGTGGATCCCCCACTGCGGGGGACCCCGACGCCCTTCTCTCCAGAAGCTGGGCGGGCAGATCGGGCCAGATGACAGGGTTCAGCCATCGGAGCTCTTGGGATAGCCGAGCAGGGGGACACCTTCCAAAGAAGCTCGCCCGTGCTGCGCAGCAGGGCCCAGCCCGGCGGCACTTGTGTGTGGCTGGAGCCCTCTCGGGCAGCAGAACACCGACCCGGGGAGGAGGCTGGTGCTCTCGGGGCCACCTGACCTTCCGCAGCCGAGGGGCGCCCTTCTCCAGCGTGCACTTGCGGGCCAGGAAAACCGGAAGGGGAAAGGCCTCAATTAGGAAACATTCCAAGGGGAGAGAAGCTGCAAATGTGTCAACTGGCTTTGTTGTAACCCACTTCCACTTAATTGGTTTTTATTTCTTTTGGTTTGCAAGTTCTTCTAGGCTGGGTGGGGGGCACTGACGTCATCGCAGGTGACCTAAATCTTTCCGTTAACAGTGGTTTTCTCAGATGGAACTGTGTAATCAGAAGGTGACATTCTAGTGATAGGCGACCTTAAACCTGCATTCATATTCTTCCGTGTGCCTCTGTCCTACATACACTGGTTTTTAGCATCGACTGTTCCTGCTTTTCCTTTGCTCATTGTACTTTCCATGTTCTGTACCTTCTCCTTAACTTGCTGCCTTCTTTTCTTGGTACACATCTAAATAATTGTGAACCTTACCTTTGTAGTAAAGTCCACCCTTGGTGCACTGTCCCGAGGAACCTGGCTTTGAATCCCAATCGTTGTGAAACACGTACTCAGTATTGATGGAGCCTTTTAAATAAGTGACTGGGAACAGCCCCGGATATGGTGACCCAGGTGTCAAACAAGTTATGTTTTACTTAAAACATAATAGCAGAGAACAGACAGACTAAAATGGTTTTAATACCCCACAGCAAATGGGATAACTGACAAGCCACCAAAAAGGAGAACCCCAGGCCAACCAGAAAGACACATGTCTAATAATGCCTTGGTATGTGATTTTTTTTTTCATACAAAGAGCTGTCATAGGTATTGAGAAAAGGAAACAAAAAGACAGTAGAAGTCCATTGTCTCTTGATAACTATTTCTTAGAAACAAATGGAAGTAAGTGTTCTTATCGAAAAATAAAAAATAAAATGTTTAAAGGGTATCACCACTCCAACTGTCAAGCCACCTTGGACAAAGTATCCATATTGTGGTTGCCTTAATACACTAAAACATTTTTGTACATAATGTAATTATGAACCTATCAGTCTGCATGGATGCAAACTGTGTGTGACAAATCGTCTTTTAAATGGTCAATTTCAACTGTACATTTTTCATCCAAGTTGTACTCTAGCCATTGGTTTAGCGTGGACAGATACTCCATCTCTATTTCCATTTCCGAAGCCCAAGTGAAACATGTTAAGAAGACTCAGAATGAATATGAAGTTATCCCATTGCCGTAGATGTTTTTAAAGTCAAATGTGGAGATTTCAATTTAGTATTTTCAATTTCTTCCCTCCCTCTTTCCCCTGCCTTTCCCAAGACATCAAATACCTGGCATGGTAGATTATAGAGAGACACTGGAAGAGAGAATGAAATTTTCCAATGGGAGTAAGAATATCTGGTTTACCTCCAAATTAAGTTTCTTTACAGGAAGTTGGGACCAACTGGAAATTACATTATCACTTCAGACACAATATTATTTCTCTACAGGGAAATGGATCGTTGTTGGGAATATAAGAGAATACGTGATGGGGTAACTGTGGGAGTAAATGTTAAAGTCTTATGTTAGTATGCTTGCAAACATCACATCTCTATGTTGTGGCACCCACGGTTGGTTGAAATTACCTACAGGTCTAGCCTTTTCTGTACAGTCGCTGTCGCAGCCCAGTAGGTCAGTTGCATTTAATCCTAGCAATATGTAAGTTTAAAGGACTGTACTTTAAAGCTTATATCCTAGACACTCAGTCTGTGACCTGGGCTGACCTTTGCCATTTCACACAAGCTGAACAGCAAAATCAAACCAGCCCTTTTCAATCTGTCATTTCCAAGCCATATCCGAGTGGTTCCAAAATCACCAGGGAGGAAGGTTTAAATTAGCCCCTCTCACTCCACCATGGCTATGAAAGCGCAACCATTTTCATTCCAATTAAGCCATAAAGAAGTTTCTCTTCCTGTTGGATCTAAAAAATAATTTCTTTGGTTCTTGTAATCTTCTCCTTTCCCATGCTGCACTATCTCCCAAGCAAGTCTATAAGCAGACTGAATCTTGGGGAAGGCTAGCCAGTGCTTGGAAAATTTCTTGAAAGGAAGACACAAAGTTTAATTGACATTCACTTCTAGAGGTGAGAAATTATAAATAATTTGGAGACATTAGAATTTTCAAACCAATAAAAAATATTCCAAGAGAGATACAATGGAGTTGCAAATTACATGTGAATTGGGGTCTATGGCTGGCATGTGAGTTAAATGCAAATCTTCATGTGCAGACCCTAAGAATAGACTGGAGAACTGCAGAAGACCAAAGCTGAGGTTTGCTAACTAGCTCCTTGCATGTGGAAGCCAGACCTGTCACCTACACTGCTTCCTCTCTCTGTCACCCTTTATTCCCTCTGTGTCACATTTTTTTCCTCCAATTTTTCATTAACCCAACCCATAATTACAACCATTTCCTTCTTCTCTAAACCCCCTCCCCACCTTCCCTTAGTCTGTTCTGTTTATTCCAGGCTCCACGTGGGTCCAGTCAGTCACCCATCTAGTCAGTTGCAGGGCCAGGAATGCAACCCAGCTCTCTTGTCCCAGATTGTGGACTTCCTTAGCCATCCAACACTGCCTGCTGGGGTTGCATTTTTATATTGAGAGGGCATTATTTGGTATCCGTAAGACTCCACATACAGCTTCACCAAATATTCTATAGTAAGAGAATATTCTACAGTGATTTGCATTTCTCCCCCTACTCCCACCCAGACTACTATCCTTCAGCAAGCAGGTGTGGACCCATTTAATAAGGAGTCTGATTTAGGATGAGAAACTGATGAAACCTAGATATAAAAGCCTCCTTAAAGGTGCCAATGGACCTTCACCATACCGTGTGGCTAGGTGACCACTTGCTTTTCAACCCTCATCTCCAGGGTGAAGTTTGTGCTCCTCAAATAGCCTGTCTCTGGCTACAACGCAAAGAAGAAAAGTCAAAGGAAAGGAGAGTATGTAGGTTTGCTTTGTGACTTGGCAGGACTAGGACTCAACAGTCAAGGACAGTCCAGGAAAGGTGACTAAAAGTCTGGAAGAAGGTGAACATGTTAACTTGACTAATGTCTGGAGTGGGAAGCCATGTCCAATGGCAGACAGAATTTGTGTTCTGCACATTGCCCGGTCTATAATATGATAAGCAAGTGGTGACAGAATTATAGTATAAGGTGATGTATTATATGCAGATCATAAAGGATTTGGTATTAGAAGTTAAGTAGAAAATCCCACTCCTGGCTTATTACCCAATAATATTCAGATAATGAGCTTTTGGAGAATGCTTTTCCCTATCACCAGGAAGATTTACCTGGTAACTGTCTATAAAGTCTTATAGATATCTTTCCAAAGCCTTTAAATGCCAACTGTAGCGTGCAGAGAGAGAGGGTAGCAGGAGCTGAAATGCCTCAGAAGCCATTTAAGTGTTACGTTGCAGGATTTTCAGTCCTCCTCATTATGTAAAAGGAGATAAATATAGACATTTTTCTCAACACTACCCTATCGTATCACAATGGTCCAAATGCCAGAGCTTACAGATAATGTCATCACAGTGCCTAGAAACTCAAACTGTAATATACCGTAGCATTTCCTTGGTGTTTCCTAAGGTTTCTTTCCACAATACAAGGCTCCCTCTGCCTCTTGTTTCTTAGAGAGTTCACCCCACTGACAGTCTGCCTTCCCTGTAAGACTCAGTCATTTGGGGAACAGTCTTAGAAGCACATATCAACCAAGGAAGTAACTTCCTGGATATCTATTGCCCACTTGCCCAGGTATAATAAACACTAAAGGGGGGAAAACTGACAAGAACTGCCAACTAGTCGACCCGGAAGGGCAGTTCTACCCTAGGTTGGTGTCTTTCTTTTTCTTCCTTTTTAAAAAAAATCTATTTCTTAAATAATAATAAATGCACATGATGTGTTAAATATGTACATATATATTTCAAAAGAAAAAAAATGGGCACAAGATTGTCTTACAAGTCGTGCTGGCTAATTTTTAGTTTGTATTCATAAGTGGTTTTTAAAAGCCTTTTTTAAAGTGTAATTTGCATGTTCTACTTTGATTGTATGTAAACATATTTTAGAACAAAAATGTATTTGTATTTTATTGAATATAGAGGCAAGAAAATTGTACATTGTTTGAAATGTTCTTTTGTAACAGTTTTTATTCATAAAGCATTTTTGTACATTTAAAATGAACACGGACTTGATGTTATTTGAGGCGTAGATACATCTGGCATGCTTTACTGTCATGCTCCTCCATGGTCTTAGATGTTGGGTTTTAAACATTTTTTTCTAAAAGAAAGCTCAGTCTTTTTCGCTACCAGATCAGGTTAGCACAGTATAGAGCACTTAACTATTAAAAAAAAAAAGTTAATCCTATTCATATGTTATTCATTGTGTGAAATTAAAGACATTCAATTCAGTCTAACATGAGTTGTGAATTCTTTTGTTTTATTTTCCATCTGGTTCACATCACCAAGGAGTTTAATAGCATTTGGGGGTCTTTGCTCACACCAACTGGATACAGAATCATTGACAAAATTCTAACCAAACTTCTGTCTGTTGTATGATGCTGAGAAGGGCATTGTGGGCAAGATTTGAGTCTGACTTGCTGGATTGCAGTTAGGAGAATGTTGCATTACTTGGACATCCAGGCTAGCAGTGCTGAGAACAATCAAAGCGTACTGTAGAATGTTGGAAGACCCATTTTATTCTACATATTTGCAAAACCATTATGGATAGAGATAAAGCTTCCTTCCTATCTCATGATATCTGGAGGATATGGCCTTGGCTACACTTCTGATTTTACTAGAGCAATAGCAAGCATAGACTATGTAGCAAATCATAGTTGCTAATTGCCTGGCCCCATTTCTACAGGAGTCCTTGCTTTGAAGGATCTCATAAGGCTTATATTTGGAAAGTGAACTAGCAGTTCTAAACTGAATATGACGGTGGTTAAAGAGGTCTCAGAAGAAGGGTGGGTCCTGCACTTCCTCTCTTTCTCTCCCCACCCTTCCTGTTCCAATTTTTAGTCAGTTTCCTATAAGCCTGTTTTAAAGTGTAACTTACATATTCTGCTTTGATTGCGTATAAGCACTCTCATATTTATGGTGGTTTGGTTGCTTGGTTGCTTGGTTGGTTTATTTTGCCTTCTTATTCTGTCTTCGGTGTGTCTTTTCCAAAAGCCAGTGTGACAGATATGAAGCCTTATGAGCTCCTCCTCATCCCTACTCATCAATCTGATCCATTGTGGCATTTATTTTAACATTCAATATTTGCAGTACCCACAAGAGAGTAACAGATGTGGGGAGGAATCAGCAGAAGTCATCAGAAGCAGACCATCAAGGCAGCCTCTGCATCCATGGAACACTGTGTTTTAGGTAGTTTCCTAAGGCTTAGAATTTTGTCAGCAGCCTCTAACCACAGAATTTGCTCTCTTTGTCCTCTCCTTTGCCAGTTTTTTGCACTGAACCAGGAAAATTTTAAACATTGCATAATCCTCTTCCTAACTCTGACTTCCAAGCCTGTTGGTATTTCTGAAATGTGCGATGACTTCCGAAAGTGCCCTTAATCTCCTCTTACCAGCTTCTCACACAGGGAAAAAGCTGTTGCCTTGAAATGGATTGGCTCAACCTTGGAGTTTGTAATTGGACTAGAGAGTGGCTGTGTGCTGACAGAGGCTCCTGGGAAAGTCACATGTGTCTACACACGAAACCGATGTGACTCTCAGTCTATAAATAGACAGGCGGAAAGAATATATAATTCCTAATTCTAATTTTTGTTCAGCTCAGTTTTTTTTTTAAATTTTCAAAACTCCATTCCATCAGCCGAGCAGCATCTGAAGCTTCTGAATTCCACAGCCAAGGAATCATTTTTCTAACCCAGAGGGGAAGGAAGTAAAGAGTCCTAAAATGCCTCACTCCAACTTCCTTCTAAATTGTTTCTCTATGCCAAGTTCTATTTCCCTAGTTTCCCTGCATTGGAAACTCAAAAGCCAGAAAGGTCTTTTTTTGGTCTGTTTTTTCCCCCCTGCTGCTTGTGCTGTCAAGTACATGCCCTGTGGGGATGAGTACAAATCAGCCAGGCCACCTGTACTTAGGGGAGTCACTGAGAGAAAAACGGGCACTTTGGAGATCAGTTACAGCTTCAGAAATCTGTCAGGTGTGAAGCAAGGATAGAGACAAGAGGGCATGCAGAGCTCAGGGATTCATCCAAGACCATTAAAGGCTCTAGAGAACAGATAAGATAATGAATGGAGGTAAAAAGGATTGAGAGTGCAGAAGTAGGGTCCATTTTTATTAACATTATTGATACTTTCACTTTTGTGGGAATGCCAATATCCAGATTTTAATTGTTATAAAGCTGTGGCAATACACTTGGCTGTAATGAAACCTTTTAATTTCCAGGATGAATTACAAACTTGTTCCAGAGTGTTATTCACATTCACATATGGCAAAATTGTGAAGTAACAAATGGGAAATGTTAAAAATCTCAACACAGTTAGAAACCACACATATTCTGTCATTATGATGCCTGAAATTTTAAAGCTCTCCAGAGAGAGAACTTTGGAATAAGATGCAAGACACCTGGCATGGCTCTTTCTTGATCAGTAAAGAACTCTGTCCCCAGCCACAAAATACCTCTGAGCATCACTTTCCTGCTTGATAAAGTGGGAGATTAAACTCTGCAATATCTGCAGTGCTCTCTAAGTCTAATAGCCTCTGAATCTGTCATCTTTGTACCTCTCCAAGAAGCCCTACTTTTAATTTTCAACTTTATCTCTCACCATCCTGTGAAGCTAATGGCATTCAGAGTTGCCACCTCAGCAGCCTGTCTTGTCCCAGTACATGTGAGAGTATGGAAAAAAGAAAAGAAATAGAATGAGAATATACAATCAAATTCTCATTCTTTTACTCCCTTCACACCTTTCTTCCTTCATTCCTGGCTTTCACATTTCCAGGTGCCATAGGTACAAGAATTAGCAAAAAAGATAAGGTCTCTGCCTGTCTCAATCCAGCCATCCATCTTCAGGGTGTAATTCAAACTTCAGCTTTTCCAAAAGACATATGACCACAATCCATAAGGACCTTTTGTACTACTCATTTACTAAGTGGTCTTAATATTTCCACAAGTGACTAGTAGAATCCTCAGCCAAAGATGTGATACAAGCTTGCACAAGTTGTTTCCTGCAAAGAGGGACCTGGCTGAAGAAGAAAATAGGGAATCAAAATTAGGGTACCCTCCCCACCCAAGGTGTGTCCCCTAGGTGTGGTATCTGCCCAAAGAAGGCATCTTTTTCTTACTCTTCCTAAAGGACTCTTATAATAATATATCCTGAAAAGGAATCAACACATTTTGTATGTCGCTGAAAATTGCTGTGGGGTCCTAGGAATCAGACCATCCGGATTGCTCTTGACCTGGAGACCTCCAATGCCAGCTGCAAGTCAAAAACACACTCCTTCATTTTAGTTATTCATGTTCCATACTCCGGAAGAGACCTGAATCCATTCCCAACTAAGCAATCACCCCACCCCTTGGCCTGGAGAGGTGGAAAGAAAACACGGACACAGACAGCAGCTAGGCTCAGCAGCATGTCCTAGCCAACCCAATTCACTAAGCTAGCTGACACTTGATATCTCAGAACATTTTCAGTTTTCCAAAGACTTCTGGGACTTCTATAGATTCATGGGAGGCTGCCAAGGAATACAGAGGAAGTCCTGTGCAGCCCTCCCCTAACTGCCCCTTCTTCTGCCCATGTCCCACAAAACCACAGCATAATATCTACACTGTGTAATTGACATCGGTGCAATCTACAGAGCTTATTCAGGTTCTCCAAGTGGTGTGTGCCACTCATGTGGGGGACTGAGGTTGTGAGATTGTGATATATCTATGCAGTCCTGCCAAATGTATGGCCTCGTGTAACTGCAACCACAATGGAGATACCCAATTATACCATCACCACAAAGATGTCCTTATGCTAACCAGTGTGTTTCCTCTCTCCCCTGTCAACCAATAATATGTGCTCTATCTTTGCAGTTTTGCTATTTCAAGAATGTTACACAAATCAAATCATAAAACTGTATCATATGAAAGTCAAATTTTACAAGGTTTAGACCAAATGAAAGCTGTGAAGATAGTCAAGTTCCAGTGAACCATGCATCTAGTCTCCCTTATTAGCATCTTATAATTGTTGTTAAGTAATAAAACAATATCATTACATTGTTATTAACCAAGATCTACATTTTACTCAGATAACCTTAGTTTCCAGCTAATGTCCTTTTTCTTTCCAGGATCCCACTCAGGATCCCACATTGTATTTCCTCCTCATGTCTCCTTAGGCTTCTGTTGCCTGTGATAGTTTTCCTGTGATGATCTCAATACTTTTGAAGACCACTGGTCAAGTACTTTGTATAGTGTCTCTTAAGTACGGTTTTCCCATTGTTTTCTCATGATCATACAAGCTCATATGTTTGGGAGATGCACAAAGACCACAGACCTGAAATAAAATTGTTGTCACCCCCACATATTATCAGTCTGATGTATAATTTTTCATGTTGACTTTGATCCTCTAGCTGAGCTACTGGCTCTACAGTTCCTCTGCAGGAAAGACACTTTTCCCCCTTTCTCTATCTTTAAAGGAAAAGTCACTATCCAGAGCCCACAATTAATAAGTGTAAGGCTGTTTTTCACATCATCAAAGTGAAGTTTCTATGTGCATTATTTGGAAACTTTATGAATATAATTGTCTTTAACACTTTTGAAATTAAATAATTTTAGACTTACAGAAAACTTGGAAAAGAGCAGTACTGTTAATCTAAATACAGACTGGATTTCATCACTTTACAATAGTCATTTTACAATAGTCATTTTTAACATAATTCTTTTAAAATTATAACTGTGGTAAAATACACATAGCATTAAATTTATCATCTTAGCCATTTTAAGTACACCGAGTAGTAAAGTAAAATTACATTGTTGTGCAAATAATTCCCGTTAGATTTTCATCTTGCAAAACTTATGCTCTATGGCTGTTAATGTCCTCATATCTCACCCAACCTGCTAACATCCACCATTGTATTTTCTGGGTCTGTGTTTGACCACTCAAGAGCCCACATAAGTGGAATATATGTCTTTCAGGATGTTTGTCTTTTATCCTCTGTTTATTGCCAAGTAGTATTTCACAACATGGATATACACCAGTATTTGAATAGCTATTCATCCATTGATGGGCTTCTAAGATTCGAGCTATTACAAATACTGCTGCTGATATGAAAATCATATGAAAGTGTTTATGTGAAAGCAAATTTGAAATTCTCTGGAAAAATCACCACAAACTGTGTTTGGTGGGTTGTATTATATAGCCATTTTTAGTTTTGAGCGGAGCTATCAGGTAGTTGTCCATACAATTTCACATTCCCACCAACAGAG